CCCACCCATCCCCACCTACCCCCACCCACCCCCGCCCACCCCCACCACAACCACACTCACCACCAACACCACCACCAACACCACCACCACCCACCACCCCCACCCACCCCACCCATCCACCACCCCCACCACCCACCCACCCACCCACCACCCACCACCCACCACCCACCACCCACCCACCCACCCCACCCCCCCCACACCCACCACCACCACCCCCACCCCCCACCCCTTCCCCCCACCCCCCACTCCCCAACCCCCACCCCCCACCCACCCACCACCCACCACCACCATCACCACCACCACCACCACCACCAAAACCACCACCACCACCACACAAGGGAGAATAGACCAGCAATTGCCACGCATCATGCGCCTTTTTATCGATTCGTCACTGCCCCTCGCGACACAGGGCATCTGTTCGGCGGTTGCTGAGCTACCAGTCTTGTCCCCCCATCCAAAAAACGTAATGGGCGCTGCCTGAACAAATCCGGATGATGCACCTGGGTGGCGTGAACCTGTGTTCCCCCGTAAATGTCTGCACGCCGGCAGCAGGTTTGTGCAGGGGGGGTCTGTGTGGCGCGCCAGTGGATGCCACCTGCGATTGCGCTCGAGCGTCATGGTGCCCAGTGTTGCCGGTGCTGCCTGCGTGGTCTGGCTGTGCGCGAAGTCGTTGGTGCTCCTACGTTTGCTGGTTCACGATGCCATGAGGGATTTGGTCGTGCTCGTTGGCGGCAAAGGTTGTGGGAGGTGGTCTAAGCAGGAGGCCCCTCGCGGCGTCGTGCCCCGTGTCTGCTGGCTTTCGTCCGGTTGCGCATCGCAGCGCGTCTTCCACGCTGGCGCCTGGCCTGCGCAACAGACCGTGCCCGAACAGCGTCACCCTAGAAGGTTCGACCCTTGCTTTAGGAAAGGGCCTACCCTGACTGGAGTGCCTGATTCAATCACGCAGTAGTCACAATTTGTTCCAGCCCTCCGTTATTGAGTTCTCGTTGCGACTAGACCGCTGTGGTCGCGCTTCGCTCCTCTTTTCCGTCCTGCCTCCCTTTTTGTTCCTCTCAGTCTCTCCCTCTCTCTCTGCCTCTTTCTTCCTCTCTTTTTTTCTCTCTCTCTCTCTCTCTCTCTCTCTCTCTCTCTCTCTCTCTCTCTATATATCATTATTTCTCTCTCTCTCTCTCTCTCTCTCTCTTTCTTTTTCTTTCTCTCTCTCTCTCTCTCTCTCTCTCTGTCCCCCTCTCTCTCTCTCTCTATCTCTATATCTTTTCTCTCTCTCCCTCTCTCTCTCTCTCTGTCTCTCTCCCTCTACTATTACCATGTACCTCTCTCGTACTAACCTCCGATATCGCCACACCTGGGGGGGCTGCGATCTGCGAAGCTGACGCCAATTTCGAAGGCTGGTGGGGGGGGCACCACGGAAAGGCCAGACCCAGACGCTGATTAGACCCGCCACCCCTGGGGGTTGCGGTCTGCGAGAATGTCGCCAACTTCAAGGGCTGGTGGGGGGGTAACACACTGGGGCCATAGCCCGACTCGAATCAGACCTCGCCACCCGTGGGGGGGTGCGATCTACGAAGCTGTCGCCATTCTCAAAGGCTGCTGGGAAGGGCCGGCAAAGTGGGGCCATACCCAGACTCCGATTAAACCTCGCCGCCCCTGGGGGAGCTGCGATCTGCGAGAGCGTCGCCAGTTTCGAAGGCTGCTGGGGGAGGGCAACACCGTAGGGCTACACCCAGAGTCATAGTAAACCTCGCCACCCCTTGGGGGGCTGCGATCTGCGCAATTGCCGTCACTTTCGAAGGCTGTTTGGAGGGCACAACGGGTGGGGCCATACCCAGACTAAGATTATACCTGTCCACCCATGGGGGGCTGCGATATGCGAAATTGCCGCCACACTCGAGGGCTGCATGGGGTGGCAGCACACCAGGGTCATACCCGGACTCAGGTTAGACCTTACCACCCCTGGGGGCTGCGATCTGAGAAGCTGGGGGGACTAGGGCTGCTGGGGGGAGCAGCACATTACGGCCACACCCGGACCCAGAGTCGACCACGCCAGCCCTCTGGGGCTGCGATCTGCGAAATTGCCGCCACTTTCGAGCGCTGCTGGGGGGGGGGGGGGGCACCACTGTCGGGCCATACCCAGACTCAGATTGAATATCGCCGCCCCCCGGAAGGGGGGGAGGGGGGGTGCGATCTGCGAAGCCGTCGCCACGGGGGGGGGAGGGGGCGCAACACCACGGGGCCACACCGGGGCCACACCCAGACTCGGATTAGACCTTATCACCCTGGGGGGCTGCGATCTGCGAAGCTGCGCCGCTGCTGGGGCGCCAACATAGGGGGGTCCATCCAATAGGCCTCGCCACCCCTGGCGGGCTGCGCTCTGCGAAACTGTCTCACGTTCGAACACTGATGTCTCAAGCCCCCCATCCGCCTTCTGCCCACTAGTCATTGCCCGTCTTCCCCTCCGACCCAGGAAGCCAGCCAATCACCTCGTTCAAGCAATCGTCGA